TGTTGATATATATTTATTAATTTCGTATTTAATATTACCATAGCCTACTTTTAAGCTACTTTTTAATCATTAAAAATTACTTTTGGAGCCTGCATAAAAGGAATGATGGCTTAAGAATTAATCTGGTTACCAGTGTTATACTTTAAATATACATAGTAAGTACGTTTCATGAATTTTGATCACCATTTGCCTTATATCTCTTAAGCTTTCTAATTAAGAAGTACTGTTTGATGATTTTATCTTGTTCCCAGTGCTATAGGTTAATCATACATACTGAGTGCTAGTGCACCGATAGAAGAATCTCTATATCCCATAAAACCAATATCCAGTCTTAGTCACCACTACGTCCCTCAATCATATTTTAGTCCATCTCAGAAAATGAACCTGTGCTAATCTATTTCCACTCCTTATTGTTTCATTTTAATTTATCTTCCATTACTCCTGTATTTCAAATATCTTTTTATGCAGGTACTTTGCTATAACTATTGGCAGTCAAACCTACAGGCATGCTTAGATGACCCCAAGGTGATGCAAATCGATGTAGACAAATGCTGGCGCCTGGACTTTACCGGCCGACCACTATCCGAGTACAACGTCGTCGACAACTATATGACCTGCGTTGGCTACTGGATGGAGGACACCAAATCATTCTTGATCACCTATGACAAAGAGGATCCGGTAAGTGATTTGTTTTGTTTCTAAAGCTTGTTACGGAAGATTTGGGCTACCCAAAGTTTAGGCTTTATATATTGTGTATATGCCTTGTGACCACAGTCCCATGATGTGCTAAAGAAGATTAACACTAGGTAAGGAAGAAAGATCAACGTGGAGAAAATGAAATCGGATTGCTCAGATTGAGGCATCCAAACGTATGGATTTTTTCACTTGCCCACTGAAGCATGCCAATTAATCTCGAGTTCCGGGAAGTTATATAGTCTTTCAAAATACCAGACAGCATTTAGAAATCGTATGTGCAATTATTAAACAATAATAAATATATATATAATGTAATGTATATAATGTAATTCATTATCATGCAAATTTGGGTAGCTTAAAAGAAATATTTCGATCTCCTCCATTTTTGGTCCTAATAAGTCCAGGATATTCGGATCTGGCTGCAAGCCCTTGAAGTGGACATTTCCCGTACTGTCCCACCTTACGAATGATGTATTTTTGACCTTAGATCTTCGTGGAGTTGACATCTTATTTGATGATCTTAATTTTTTTCTCGTGCTCTGTACTAAAACTTGAATTCGATAAGGAACCCGCTATTTTTTCTGTCCTGTTCGATAAAGAATTCTCCATAAATTATTGAATCATGGCCCACGTTTTTAGCCTACAGTTAATGTGAGACGGAGATTCCTTGCCTAATAACTTTCACATATCTTTGAAATATCCTTGTGCCAGACACTCTGATAAATTATACTTTTATCAAAATTCACAAGTGGGTTGATGGAGATATACTTGATGAGTCCTGTGCATCGGATGGTCGTTCAGGTCTAACAACCTCCCCCGTAACTTGGTGGCGTTAAAACTTTCTCGAAACTCTCCGTATATATACGAAAATTTTGGCGGATTTCTGGTGCCGTATGATTCACGCCCGTTTACGTTTTCAAATTCTTTTCCTGAGCACGCAAGGGCGAAAGTAAATCTATCCACTCGTTTGGCTTCACTTTTTACATGTCGAAACTACGCAAATTTCGAAGTATCTTGTATTTGCTAGAAGTTGTTTGACCTTGTTTTCTCAACGTGGTCATAGTTGTAGGAAGACTTAGAGGAACGCACCTTGTCCGGAGTCTATTGTATGCATCATCATTTCCAGAGTAGGACCGTGGAGGAGGTACATTCCCAAACGTTTCGCCGGCATCGTCAGTGAGTTTTACCATTCGTAGCACCATACAACAACTTGTCAAAGATACAAGTGAAGCCGATCCTTTGACCAAACGTGTGCTAAACAGTTATGGTATCTCCCCTTCTGGCCTGGCCTATTCACATTTCTTATATGCTCATATCACGCCTTCACTGTCACAATATTTTACTTGCTTTATTCAATGTGGTATGGTGTGCCCTTTTGAGCGGCTTTCATGAGAACCCTCCACACTCCACACTGGCCTTCTCACACCACTTCATCCTTGTGTTGGGAATGTTGATCAGAGTCTGCCATATTGTTACGCATTCCTCCTTCCCTAGGTCTTACCCCAGTCTCTCTCTTGCCCCGTAAGATCCGTCTGCCCTCGCCTTGGTTCACATATTTCACTCGACCCATGCCACCCCATCTGTGCCACTCGAGCAGTTAGTCGCCCTCCCCTGAGTCTGAGTGACTAATTCTAGGCTAAAGCCTCTGATTAAGTCTCATGGTCGGGCCTTTGCCACATGGACCTACTGTCAGCCAACTTGCTCCAATCGCCGCCGTGTCTATCCTGTTTTCTATCTCTAATACCACGTCTATGACTTGCAATGCCCTAGTCTCTGGTGTTCCAATACAGAAATGTTGTGGTACTGCTTGCTTTGATTTGGTTCAATGTTGAGCCACACTTGATCAACATTCCCTGCACAAGGATGAAGTGGGGTGAGCAGGCCAGAGTGGAGTGTGGAGGGTTCTCATGAAAGCCGCTCAAAAGGGCACACCGTACCACATTGAATTAAGCAAGTAAAAAATTGTGACAGTGAAGGCGTGATATGAGCATATAAGAAATGTGAATAGGCCAGGGCAGAAGGGGAGATACCATAACTGTTTAGCACACGTTTGGTCAAAGGATCGGT